ACCTGGGGCCCGGTTCGGCGCTGGGGGCGGTTCCGGACCGTGCACTGCCATCCCCGGCACAGGGCGGCCCCGGGGCCTCGCGCTGCTTTCCCGCCTTTAGCCCTGAAATCCGAAGGGGTGAGGCTGAAAGTTGCCCATCTGCGGTGCTGGATCAAAGGGAACTTTCTCCAGGCACGAAATGGGCGGTTTTGAACGATGCCATTGATGCTGCCCAGGCGAAATTCCGTGTTTAACCAAGACAGAGTGTTGTGGGACCTGCAGTGTCACTGGAGTGCTGTTTCTATGGCGAGTGCTGGAGGGTAGTAGCGGAATTTCTGTGATTTTTGGACCTCTAGTCGTTTCGTTTGTTTTTCCTAAGATCCCCAGAGCTGTATTTAAGTGCCCCTCCTGTGGCTTTACGTGTTCCTCCTGTGGTGATCTGTGAACTTGGCTAAGGAAAAGAGAGCCCAGTAGGTAGATGTTTAATAGCAACAGCAGTTCAGGCTGTTGCTCACAAGAACAGGTGTTTTCCTGCCTTACAAGGAGAGAAGGTGCCCGTGGTACCGACCCACCAGGGCCTGTGTGACCGGCTGGGCTTTCTTTGGCGGTCTCTTTTGCAGAGAGGCTGCATAAACAGTGTGTGTGGTCAGTGCCTGCTGCAAGCCGCTTGCAGTCCGCTCCTTTGGAAGCAACAAGCATGAACTATAAACGTGGGGGTTCCTCTGCCTCTATAATCGCTGTATCATTGCGATAATTGAAGGTTTTATCTTCTAATTGGGTCCTGTGCTGAAGCGTAGCCCATTGGAGTTTACCAGGAAACAGCCTCTGTGATTCAAACTAGCAGCGTTCTCTTCTGAGCATCTACAGTAGTAAATGTAATAATAATTTGAGACTGATCTTTGCGGAAAATATACAAGTATTATTTACTTGAAATAATTCTAGAAACTAGAAAGCAAGACTGAGCAATGTCAGATCAGTCTGTATGATTATTACACTGTAATGTGTACATTGCTCTAAACAGTATTTAAAAAGAGCACCTGTTGCTCACTTCCTGTTTCACCTATCCTTTTCTTGGCATTTAAAAAATTTTTTAAACCAAAGTATAAATTTTGAAAAAAAAATATATATATGATTTTTTTTAAAGAAAAACTCTTTTCAAAAATGTTAGGAGACCTTTGCTTTGGATATTGCAGCATGCCTGTGCTGCAGAACAGGGACCTCAGACTTAACAGGTCCAGCCATTAGTTATCCTATTGAGAAGCTGTTTGGTTTTGGGCAGACTGTAAGTCTTCAAAAAGTTGTTTTATGTACCCTTAGAGTAGTAGAGCTTTCAGAAATATTTAAAAAGCTGCTTAATTTGGTAGCCCAGCTTGGGGCTCAGCGTGAGTGCAGCTGCCAGAGGACCTTGTGTCACTGAACTGTTTTCTCTTTGCCCAGAGCAGCTTGATGTGAGCTCAGCAGAGGGTGAGGAGGTGCAGGGAGACCGGACAAGGAGCTCCAGGAGGGAAGATTTGGGCTCAGAGGTGAATCAGTGCGAGCTGCCGTGATGGGAGGGTCAGGAGAAGCTCTCCCTACAGAAGCCTGGGATGAAACCTGTGCTTTCAGCAAGCTGCCATTCATCTGCTGCCAGCAATTACTAGTAAAACTCTTTCACCTCCTTTGAGTACTACTCTATAGTAAATATTTAAAAAGGCAAGCAAAAAAATTACTACTGCTCTTGGGAGTTACTTTAATATGTCACAACTGGTGGCACCCAGGCTGCTGCTCGCCTGCTGGTTCCCAAGCGTGGTGGGGAGAGGTAAACATGTAGCTGCTGGCTCTCTGCCTCACCGGGCGATGAGACCCTCATCCTCCCTGTGTCTGCACGTGAGGAGGAGGAGTTGGCCAGTGGGAATCACCTGCTGCCAGTGCAGTGGCTGCACGTTTCTGTCGGAGCAGTGTAAGGGTGAGGAGCTGGAATGATGTGAGCCAGCCTTGGAGCTGGAAGGGTGGGCTGCCGTACGGCCCTCTCTTACCTCGGAGGCAGAAGCCCTTGTGGGGCATCTGCAGGCTTTGTCCTGGAACATATGGTTAGAAAAAGCCCATGAGCTTCAGCATATGATGCCATGTAACGAGTCATATTTAGTGTGCTTTTTAGAAAAAAATAGGAAGTGATATAAGGGTGCATAGAGACATATGGATAAAAACAGATGTCCTGTGTTTTGATGGCTATTCAGACAAGTGGGAAATACCAAATTTAAGGTAGTCTGAGCATTCTTAGTTTATATCCTTGGTCTGTGGGTGCTTCAAAGTGCTGACGTGCCCCAAAGATACCCCCGTGGGAGAGGCATTGTCCCCAGCCCAACAGCCTGCTGCTGGCTGCCTCTTTGCAGGTGACCCCTGCAGCATGCAGGGAGCCAGCACCCGCATCCCGCTGTCCCGTAGCTCCTCCACGGAGCAGCCGGCGCTTCCCGGGCCCGCTGGGCTCGAGGCTGTGGGAAGGAGGAGTGTCCTGCCCGAGTGCACTGGCCATGTAATAAAAAAACCCAGCGTGTGCTGAGATTTACAGTACTGGATGTGCTGCTTGATCCAGTTATGTGTTCAAGGGGGGAAAAAATAAAAAAGCTGATGGCAGATGAAGAAGGAAGTTAAACAACAGATGATATATATGTTGAAGTGTAATGTTCTGGCTCATAATGATATCCACTTCAAGTGGTGAATATCTCTGCAGAAGTGTCTTTTGTACTCGGTGTTTCTCTGGTCTCTTTCATTAATCTTGCTGTCGTGAACCTTGGTTTGTGAGCTTTTAACTTAAAATCTGTGTGTTGTGGTTTTATCTTTATGAACAGCTCTACTTAAGTTTGAGATTCAGGTTCATCTTCATTTGAAGATCGTTCTATCAATACATACTTAAAGAGTTTTATTTTACTGCTCAATAAGTGGTGGTACCTTAGAGCTCTGTAAAGCTTTTACTAGTAGTGGGGAGGGGAGTCCTAGCACAAGTTAATGTGTTGATAAAAGGTAACCTTCCTCCACAGAATTAGAAATTGATGTTGTATTTATATAAACAACATAAAAAAGCAACACTTTACAGAACATTTTATCTTCTCAAAATCTGTGTGGAATAACTTTTTATTTTTAAAGATGATCTTGCAGAGTGTAGCATCCTTCTAAAGCTCTGCTGGTTTGGGTGCATGGAGCTTTGCTGGTTTTGGTTGAATGTTTCAGAAATGTTTTGCTTAGTGTGTTAGCTCAGTGCCCAGTCCTAATACACTGAAAAGTGAAACTACTGAGGGCTGAGGTAGGAGTACAAGGAAGGTGGCAAAGCTTCGTCGTGACTAATTGGTTGGCACTCCTGGCTGCAGAAGTGGAATTGGCAGTACCAGATTGCGTGCCTGAGAGCCATCCATGATCTGCAGAATTTGCATGCATGGGAACGAGAATTACATAGCTGTCCTGTTGGTTGTGATAATAGATGAAGTCTTGTAAACACCAAAGAAAATACAAATACCTCCTGTTGTGGGTTTTGCTTTAAATGTTATTGGATAAAGTGGAAGTCATGCAGTGTGGTGTGACCAGAGCTTCCCCCGCTTTGATTTTTAACTGCTATTCTGTTAAATTCAGTGTTGTCTGTATACTTATTAAGCTTGGAACATAGCTGCATGGAAGATTCCCTTGGGAACGTGGTCATGGTGAGTGCCGGGTCCGCAGGGGTGTCCGGAGGCCTCCGTGTAGGGTGGTAGCAGGTATGAGTTGGAAATTTGGCTCTCTTGGGAGATGAAGGGTGCGAGTTTGTCTGTGGGCTGAGCAGGGCTTTTTGTTAGTCATGCCCTGTGACCTAAGGGCCCAAAGTAACCAAGACTTGTATTTACGTATAAGCATAAGTGTCCTTAACACTGAATTTCTCTCTTGTTCTCTTTTCAGCCTTTGCCCTGGAGATCAGGATCTGCTGCCAAGGTGATAAAAGGTATGAAGAAGGACCAAAGTTGGTATGCAGAAAATTCAACTTGTATCTGCTAGGATACCCTTAATATGTCCTGTTGGCTAAAGACAGATGACGCTGTGGTAAAATATATGATCTAATTTAATTGTTGATATGACCAATAAAGAACTACAGGTTCCAGTTTTCCTGGTACAGAAGTGGTTAGGGAGCCTTGACATAACTGTTTATTCTTGGGAAGAAGGCTTCTTGCTAAGTGTCATTAGTTAAAGTGTTTGAAGAGGGATCTTGAGACTTGGGTGGGTAGAACTACTGGTACTGGATCAAAAAATAGTTTTAAAACATTATCCACTTTTTTAAATGCTGAAAAAATTGAGAAATGTAACATTTCTTTAATCAGAAGACGACAGTAATAAAACTGATCTCTTTTGATTTGCAAACCAAGGGAAAAAATTGTCTTTGCAGGAATTAAATGAATGGCAGTATACAGACTTTTATTTGTTTACAACTCTATTAGCAAAGTAAGTAAAGCCATTTAAAGTTGCCTGTTTAGACTAAGCACCAAAATCGGCCTTGCTGTAGCTTGAAAAAAAATCCTAGAGAGCTATTTTAAGTCTAGCTGGATAAGGAGAAACAAAGCCATACATGATGGGCAGTAGCAAGTAGTTGTTGATTTCAGTTGCTGATGTAACCGACTGCATTTTTCAGACTGTATAATGAGCTTAATCCTCCTTTATAATTTTAACTTTAACATTAAATATACTGTAATAAAGGCTGCATATCACTGTAGTGTGAGATGTTAGGTATTGGGGGAACTTGTATGCGCACTACAAATTTCTGAAAAATTAATATTTATGTATAAAATGTGTAAGCAAGTTGAAGGAAAACATGTTTTGATATAATAATGGATTTCGTCAAAGTATTTACCTGTGTTTAAATAATTGAGATACCTCTTTTGAGAATGTTTAGAGCAAATATTGAATACCATAATAAATTTATGTAGATTTACCAACAGTGTAGATTTGAAGTTACTTGTCCATCTGAGATTTGTGACATTTTATGCAAAAAATAGGATTTAAATGCAATCCCCAAATTTCCTGCCCACAAAATTAAAAAAGGTATTATTCTTATATCTACTATGTGTAATATGAAGATATTATTATATAATACAATGTAGACACACAAGCTTTTCTTACAGTTTTAGAATCGTAGAAATTCTCCAATTCCTATATCAGGAATTTTTGTTTTTATATAGTTTTAAAATGGGGCATCGCTCGTCAGACACGGAGGAGGAGACCAGAAGCCGCAGGAAGAAGAAGCATCGCAGGCGCTCGTCGTCGAGCAGCTCCTCGGGCAGCAGGACCTACACCCGCAAGAAGGGCGCGAGGAAGTCGAGGTCGCGGTCTCGAGATCTCCAGTCTCGTTCACATTCTTATGAGAAAAGGTGCATTTGGAGTAACTTACTGGCCCTTTCATACTGTCCTGCAAAGCCACAAGTGTTTAAATCTCGTGTGTAGTCAAGTGTAGTTTGGGCTTTTATAGCAGATTTAGCTCAGTCTTGGAAAATGTGGCATTATTTTTAATTAAAAAAATGGTATAAATCCAGCTGCAAAGATGACTTCTATATTTAAAAGCTTCCCAAATAACCATTCCTTTCTCTCCTTTTCAATAATGATGTTGGAGTTTCAGCCAGTCAGCTGCTTGTGGGGAACAACAGTTGCTATGCTTACCACTTTTTTTTCTTGACCTAAAATCATTTTTCCTCCATCAAGGTGATACCTTTCATCCCTTGATCTTTTTAGATATCCTGGATATGTCTCAGTCTGGCTTGAGGTGAGCTTGGATTCAAATGGAACAGCTGAAGGACAGTTTAATAATAAGTGGAGCTAGAAAATACTTAGCATGTCTAGCTGCACTGGAAAACATACTAGAAACTGCTCCTGGCCAATCCTTCTCTGGTTGCTAGAAGAGAGAGTTTGATAAGGGGGCAAGTTGGCTAGTTCTGGTTTTTGTTTGTTTGTTTTTTCCCTCCCTCTTTCTTCTGTTCCTGCTTAGCATCTACAGAGAGCCCTTAGGGGACACAGTGAGATGACATGGGCTTTGATGCCAACAATATGCCGATGACATGCAGCTTTATGAATCTCTTTAGTCCAGTGCAGGCATGGCTATCTCGCAGATAAAAACAGAGCTTCAAGGGAGATTAGAGTCTGGATGAAGACCAGTTGACTTAAATTGAATCCAGAAAAGACCAAAGTGCCTGTTTTTAGGATCTGGCCAGCACTTCTGCTTGGCCTTTAGTGTAGGACATTTGCTACCAGCTGTTGAGTCACTGTTGTGCGCTGTGGTTTATCTCTGACCCTTAAGAATCAAAAAATCAAAAGAAAAGATCTCCAAGTACTTCTCCATCTTCATTTGGTAGGAACATTGCACTGCTCTTCCAGGTGAAGACCTGGTCTTTTGTGGTTAATCTGCTAATCCTTTCCAGTCCAGACTGCTGCAGTGCTACCTGTGCAGAATACAAGTAGTAGAGTGGCTGTGTGAAAGCTAACGTTTCATGAATTTCATTTTAGTGCTGGGTTTGTAGTCCTTTATACTGAAAAGAGATCTGTACAGTGTATTTCTGTAAGTCCTACTGAGAATGTAGGTCTAAATGTTTCTCTTAGTTTAACTTTGGGAACTCACTGCCTCTTTGCCACAAATTGCTCATGAACTGTCAAGAGCTGGGTTGTGTTCCTGGATTTGCTCTTAAAGTACTGTATGATTTGGGGCAAATAATTTATTTCTTTTGCCCTTTTTTGCCTTGGAATATACATTCTGCAATATATGTTCTTTAAGACAGGCATTACTCACATATATGTAAATCACTTAGTACAGTTTAATGGTGGTATACATTGACACTCAGAAAACCTGCAATACAAATAATATATATTTTTGATTTTTTTTTTGAATACCCTCTTCAAGAGTAACATTTCTCCTTAGAAGCAGCAGAATACTAACAGTGTGGTCTTGTTTTAGACGCCGACACAGATCAAGCAGTAGTTCTTCATATGGTTCTAGAAGAAAACGCAGTCGTAGCCGATCAAGGGGCAGAGGAAAATCCTACAGGTCTCAAAGATCAAGGTCAAAGAGTAGAACAAGAAGGTAAGATTCCTTTTTTTTTTTTTTTTCTCCTAGGAAAGGAAATGAAAATTCTGTCCCATACATCTATTTAAAATTCCTGGGTACTACAGAGTTTGGAATCTGCAAGAATGATTACAAGTGATCTATCTAACCTATACATGTAATTTGAAACTTTTCATGATTCATGAAATCTCTGTACTATGCTTTTGATGTAATATATCTTTGGATTTGAAGATAAGCTATGTATTTTGCATTTGTACACATGCAGAAAACAGATAAAGTCATCCTAGTTTGCTTTAACTGTATTTACCTGAAAAAATTCTGTGAATATTTTTTGACTATTGATTCCTGTTAAATCAGTGCATAGTGTTGGCTTGCTGAAGATGAGACTTAACTATTATTGTTCATCTGTATTTCTCTTGAAGAAATAAGTATTTATAGTTGCAAAGATTTTTAGATAGTATTTATAGAAATCTCTGTTGTTGAAAACAAAATTTTAATAAATCAGATTATGACAAATAGGTATTTTCAATAATAAACAGAACTTAAATATTTAAAACCCATTCAGATTTTTCAAATTAACATCTATTTCATACTTTTGTGATTTAAAAGATCAATTATTTGTGGTTTTTGATTTTTTAAAAAAGTTTGTTTAAAGTTTATTTGTGCGTATTAGAATCACTATGATCACTTTGTATTGAAATCCATTGTTGCCTGATAAATACCAGGCAGGTATCTGTGTACAGCTCTTCAACTGGGTAATTTTGTGTATTTGTATTAAGAATTTACTAAAACCATGTTATGTTCTTATACCAAATCAGTAGAATTTTTGCCTTTAAATGTTGCTGAAGGACATGAGCATTTCACTTGTGCCTGGTCATATTCTCTCCTGACTTGTTCACAGCTGTTCATTATAATAGTTGCCTGGACACTTATTGTTGCCATGCCTTTGTAGTAGCAATTTGGTTATTCAAACAGTGTGATCTGAGTGTACAAACCTTCTGAGCAGGCAGCCACGCTGGGCGTGGAAATATTCCTCTATATATCCACTGTTTTTATATATCAAAATTGTGTTTAAAACAATGAAACGTTGAAGGAAATAAGGTGAAAATGAGGGTGTTTTTCCAGTATGTTGCCGAGCATTAGAAAATCTGATAACCAGTTTTAAAGATCTTGCTATTATTGTGAGAAATAATAATGACAGGTCTTGTTGCACCTAGTTTAATATACTATTGGTCATGTTTTTCAAGGTGTTTATTGATCTTAATTGCTCTTGCAATATATGGAAATTATACCCCTACAAAATTTAACTTGACTGCCATTTACTTCATTTCATGCTGTGAAATATTATTTATAAAATACACAGACTTTTCAGTATTCCAGCTATGAAGGTATAGCTGCAGGTAACTTTAAATTGTATTACTATTCACAAGCCT